CTATAGAACATGAAATGAAGTTTGTTTTAAAAAATCAGTAGTTTGGTGGAAAAGGGTGAGCCTGCAGTAAGAGAAACACTGCTCTGATTATCTAAGTCAGGGGTCAGCAACCTTTCAGAAGTGGTGTGCCGAGTCTCCATTTATTCACTCTAATTTAAGGTTTCGCGTGCCAGTAATACATTTTAACATTTTAAGAAGGTCTCTTTCTATACGTCTATAATATATAACTAAACTATTGTTGTATGTAAAGTAAATAAGGTTTTTAAAATGTTTAAGAAACTTCATTTAAAATTAAATTAAAATGCAGAGCCCCCCGGACCGGTGGCCAGGACCCGGGCAGTGAGTGCCACTGAAAATCATCTCGCGTGCTGCCTTTGGCACGCGTGCCATAGGTTGCCTACCCCTGATCTAAGTGCTGTTAACAGCATACAATAAACTTGGAACAGAAGTAACACTTTTACATTTTAATGATGAAAACAATGTTCAATTTTTTTCCTCTAAAAGAATTCTTTTATGTCTGCCATGTCCCTGTCCAGGACATATTTCCCAAGAGAAAAAAATATTTTAATTAGTGAAGAAAAATTATATAGAGAACATATACTGAAATAATATTTTTGTTGCCAGTGATGATTATTGGTGTATTTCTGTGTCCTTTTAATAGATCTGTATTCTAGGATTTAACTTTTGTGCCCACCACAGAATACTGTAAATCCTACCTTTGGAAAATATAATAGTTTTGTATTTATTACAAACAGTCCTTCACATTGTTCGCTGATTAGATGCAACTTTTCACAGTGATTTACACAGTGCTGCTATTCTGTATGGATAGAAAATATTCTGTCATTGTTTTACTTGGAGTTAAATCCTTTGGTCATTTTGAATGCAAAACAGGCTTTAAATACAGCTTAACTCTTAGAACACTGAGACAAATATCCATGTCCGTTGTGAGCTGAGGGAGGGCCACAACTGGATTGTGAACTGGGGGATGGAGGGAGATAAATGGGAGGAACTTTTTTTCCTTAAAATTTCTCACAGTGCTACCATAAAAGCAGCTCCACTGTTGAAGATAATGGCAGAAGTATTAGTGCAGAAAAGATTGTCGCCAATGGCATTTTAGCTGCTCCATCATCTACATATCTCAGCGCCAATCTGGATGATGGAGTGGTTAAAATCCCACCAGCCACCTTGTGCTCAGTCTATACTTATACTCCTACTGTTTCTCTTACCAGTGAGGCAGCTCTGGTAATAGCAATGGTGAGAAATTTAGGGGGGGAAAGGCTACTGCAGATATAACCTTAGAGAGTCCTGAAGACCTCTTAAGGAAGAAAGAAGCTAACGATTTCTGTGCCACAGCCCTTATTTTATTTTTAGCTATATAAAGATATCTATAGAGCTACATGTAAATCTATAGATAGAATCACTCCTAAGCAGCAAGACATAATGTCTGCCAAGTTTCAGGCCAAAGCAAATTTATATAGCCAAATTATAAACCCTAGAAATAGGGCTTTATAGTGGAATTGCTGCCATAACGTTAACTACTGTGTATGGCTGTAGTGGGCGTCAGTTTAAGTTCTAGTTTTGATGTGCAGTTAATGGCCTGAGATCAATCATGAAGTATAATAGGATATTTTAAGATATTACATTTGAAGAGAATTGATATTTAAACATTATCTATGAACCACATCATTTTAATGCCTCTGAAACATCATTCAGTCCTTGGTACAGAATCGCATGAAAAAATTCCTGATCACATTTCTCAAAATGAACAGCAGCTTAGGTTTCATTAACTGCTTTTTATGTGATATTTAGAGTAAGAGAACTGAAATGTTTCTGCTGAACGTTTAGCAGAATAGTCCTGTAAAATAGCATTTCCGATTTTTTATCTTGATCCTCTCTAATCCTTCATTTCTGCCTTTGGGGGTATATTCTGTTTGTGTTTAGAAGAAATTTTTGAACATAATTTCTGTAGCAAGAAAAGTAGTAAATACTTTTTGTCTTGTTGCACCTAACCACTAATGATTGATTGTATTGGTTGCCAGTGATACCTCTCCCATTTCCCAGGTAGTATTGATTGTACTTGAATACTATGTTAACTTGATTACTCAAAACAATTTTTCCCCAAAACATTTGTTTTTTATGTTCCCTCAGGAGATAATAATTCCAAAACTGAAGCTGTCATTCTTTAGCCGCCTAGTTCAACACAGTAAAGCTTGCTGCAATACAGATGATGATTATTACTCTCACTGCTGATACAGAGAATGGGAATGTGGTGCTGAAAGCTGCTAGTTTTACTCCCTTGCAGTTTGAAACCTAAGACTGGATTCTTTAACTCTGTTCTTGGAAAAAGACTTTAGTGCTGAAAGTGCCTCTTGTGTTCATGGAGGAAGTATAACCTCCTTTCAATGCAAAATGATAAACCTTAGAGTAGTGCTTAATAGTTTTGGCTAGTAGTTAAAATAAATTCCACTTTTACAAATAATAAGAATACATGTGAAGATCTCAAAGCACTTTACTAACATTAAATAAGATGCAGAATACTCTGGGTGAAATCCTGGCCCCATCCATGTTGGTGGGAGTTTTGCCACCGACATTAGTGAAGTGAAATTTGTTAGTCTCTAAGGTGCCACAAGTACTCCTCATTCTTTTTATTAGTGAAGTGCATCACCCATACTCATTTTGCAGATAACAAGCCAATGCACAGAGGAGTTACAGTACATAGCTTTTTCAAGACTGCAGTAATATTCCAAACTTATCAGAGGGGATTAGCTAAGGACCTGTTCCTGCAATGAGCTACATATAGGTGTTTGTCTGCATGAGCTCATAACAGTATTGGGCCTAAGAGCAGAATTAGACCCAAAGTGTCCTAATCAGGATTCCTTGCTTTATTTTCTAGACCACAGTCTCTTCCATTATCCCACATTGCCATCAAAAGGAAGGAAGTTTCATTATTTGTAATTCTAGCCCATGTGCTTAGATTTAGTTTCTGAATTTTTTAATTTCAGCTAATGTGTAACATTTCGATTTAGTAACAAATTTTAATTATAATGAATTGTTCTGTTGATTATTACTGATTGTATCATTCTGATGCACCCAGAACAGCAATTCTGAAGCTCAAGGAAATTGAAGCAAGACCCCATGTAGGTGGTCATCAAAACATGTAATAACCATGAACCAGTTAGTCAGCAACAGTGTGAACAAAACATAACAGTCCATATGGCAGGCGCTGAGTAACTGCACACACCCAGCGTTATGTGTGTACACACACACACGCCCACACACAGAAACTGGAAAACTGAGTTCAGGGAGCATGAAACGAGCATGAACAGGAAGTAATAAGCAAGAAGGCAGCACACACACATCAGTCATCACATTGACTTTTCAAATATATGTATTAAAAAATATCACTTCAGGACTAGATTTTTCCAAAGTGCATTTGCACTTGGGTGCATTGCCCAAACCTTCCGATGTGCATGCATGCCCACACTCGTTTGCATATGCACGTAAGCATGTTTGTGTTCACACATCAGAGTTTGCACACAAACAGGTTGGGGGCACACATTTTGCTTGCACATTCTTTTGAAAATCTGACTCTGTGTCAAACTGTGCAGTGGTCTACTACATATATAGTCGCTTTTCCAGAGAATATAAAAACTGTAATCACAGAAGATTCCCTAAAATTTTAAAATAACCAGTAAACCAGAATGTCATTTACTCTTTAACATTTGACAAACAAAAGCAAAATATCTCTGAATCCTTTGGATAAATCTGATCTGAGGGACTTTAATTTTTCAATTCTTATGATGCTCATGGTACAAAAGAAATAATTCCATTTTTTACTTTGTGGGACGGTCAAACAGCACACAAGCAGTATCTATGGTTTTCTTATTTTGTGTGACAGAAGGTTTTGGTTTGGAATATGCAATATATATCATGCAGTAAGTCCAAAGAAAGACCATTTCTAAGACAAACTATAGAAAATGTACAGGTAGATCTCATAAGAGCTGTTTTGTATCATGAATATGTCTAGTTGTAGACACACTGATTTCCTTCCAGTCGTTTAGTTATGACAATCCTTTATTCAAACTGAAACAACAAACCAATAATCATTTTAGAAAGAGAAATGATTATGCTCCATAGTATTAATGTAGTGTATTAGGGTACTAATATCATTGCGCTTGTTTAGCCTGACTCTGAGTCCCCAGTACTGGTTCTGTTAACTTTCTTTTTTGGAGCAAACAGTTGATCAGTGTTTTTTTATTAGTATAGAAGTCATAGTCTTAGTATTATAGTTCTTTAGATACTATGTTGTGATGCAAAGATATGAAAAGCCAAATGTAATTTGAAACAACTCTACAAGGAGAAGGCACAGGCATGTGAATTTTGCAATCAAATATGTAGAACCAAGCTATTTGTGGTATGGTATAGCTGTGTGCAATTCCCAAATGGTAGAGTTTATTATCACTGTGTCAATGTCTTACTCAAATGTGGAGATAGAGAATCCCAAATTAGTTAATGAATTTATTCTTCTTTTCTAGTTAACCAGTAAAACCTTTTGAAGGAAGTTTAAATTTCGGATGGTCTCACCAGCAGCTTTACTAAGAGACATTTTTTTTTTTTTTAAAGATGAGGATGGTCTTAGATGCCTGTCTTCCATTCTTTATGTAACCTTTTGCATTTTGTGTTTAGAAACTGACATTCCAATTGATTTTCATTGGCCTTCTGCCTGGGTTGAATATTGAGGCAGCAAATTAGGAATGCTTCAGAAGTCCCACAAACAAAGACGTTTGCTGTGAAAGTGGAGATAATGTGACACTTATATTTCGAGCTTCTTAGCTTACTCAAATGATAAATGATGGCATGGTTTAGGTAGTGTGTGGGGGGGGGAAGGGGAGGCGGTTACAGACTGAAAGAAGTTGCTGTGAGCTGAGCTTTGGGATTCTACTAGGAGACAGTTATCCATCATGTGACTATGCTGATAATATCTTTTATCTCTGTTTCAGGGGCTAACTTTGTGACTCGAAAAATTAGCCGATCAGTAGCTAAGATTCACCTCGGACAGATGGAATATTTCAGTTTGGGCAATCTGGATGCTAAAAGAGATTGGGGCCATGCCAAAGACTACGTTGAGGTAGGTTATTGGCCGTGTGCCCTTTTTGAAACAATGCCATTGATCTATTTAATGCAATAACTTCAGTGAAAATGCATGACCTACAGAGGGGTATCTCATGAATTTTTACCCACAGAGGCCTGTTAACTTAGTGTTGCTCTCAGTTTCAGACTAGGGAGTTCAGTAACATAGTGGGCTACCCCAGCCATGACCTGAACAGAAAAATAAATCTTTAGGTTTACATTCCTTTACTAAATTCCTCTGGGAGGGGTCTATAAACTGGAACTATTTTAAAGAGTTTTTCTCCGATTGTTTCTGCGAGCTTTTATGTCCAACATTAAGATCATAGCAAGATGCAGTGAAACTTGACTTTAAAGACCTCACTGCAGGCTGGCGGCCTTTTACTGTGACGGGGCAAAAACCCCATTAATGCTGACAATCAAAGGTCTGGTTGGTTCTGCTTTAGAATGAAGCTTCACATTAATATTATGATGTCAAGTACTGTGTCACGTATGTGTCTATAGCTATTTACTTTATTTCAGATGTTTTCGTTAGTCAAAATTGTTTAATTCTATTCTATGCATATACTTTTGTTTAAAAAAAAATCTGCATTGTATTAAAAGAGACATGAATGACTACATCAGAAATATTGTTGTTTTCTCAGGAGAACATTGTCCCCATTTTGCCTCTCAAAGATTTCCTGTGGTCATTGGGCTATTTCTGGCTTTTAATAATTTCTCTCTGGGAAACCAGATCTGGCTTCCATATTCGTTGGTGTGATTCAAAAAGAAGATTGTTGTTTGTGTTTCTTAAATTACAAAGTTAATACCAAAATAGCACCCTTAATTCTTTGTTTTTTTTATTAATTTTTGAGCTTTTTGACCTTGACTTAAGCAATTAAAAGAAGCCACCAGTAAGACTAAAATAGATTACCAATTTAAATATTGTCTTGTGAGGAAATCATGGTACCTTACCAACCCTCTTGATGATGACGATAAAAATGGGGAAAAACATTATATATGCATCCAAGCCATTACCTCAGGTGAGTGGAGAAATAGAATTTGGCCAACTGGACTGTAAAGTTGGGCCCCAGTTCTGCAATGCATATGCCTGCTAGGAGTCCTTGATGTTGGTATGATATTTCCTGGGAGTAAGGGTCCATCTGCTTGGATGTCATTTTCTGTATGGGGCCTTAGCATGGTAAATTAACCCGGGAAATCTTCCTGATATATTTTCCAGATATAATTTAAAATAATTTTTATACACAACATTTTATAGCAGATAGAAAATTATTAACAAAATCTATGGGACAAAGCATCTCAGCTCTGTTATTTATAAGTAAAACATAACTATCCACAATTAACAAGCTTTTCATTTTTTAAAATAAAAATGGCATAAAACAGAAATTAGCATCAGAACATTAAAATAGTTATTAGAGTAAAATATCCAAAGAAAAATATATGAATTGAGTTTCAATATGACTATTCAGGACTGAATTCCACTCTCTTCTATACTCGGATAAATCCAGAGGAATTCTATTGTACTCAGTAGGCCAAATCCTGGTCCTGCCGAAATCAATAGCAAGACTCTTTGTGTTTAATGGAGCAAGGCTGGACGCAGTGACTCAGTGGTTTCACTAAGGGCACAGGCTGGTCTACATTCATCAAATTATACCTAGGATGACCTATGTGCAAACCTTAAAAAAAAAAAACAAAAAAAAAACAAAAAAAAAAAAACCCTCATCTTATTCAGCAAAACCACCCGATAGAAAGTTCTCAGCTGGAGTCTCCATCAAGGACACACGGTGGTAATGTAAGCGGCATTCCAGATCTTTCAGTCATATGTTTTTGGGGCTGTTCCAAAATCTTCTGGAAAGAATTTCTCACTAGGATAGAGTTCATCTTGAGTATCTCATTAGCGGGATACCGTTGCCTAATGGGGGACTTATTAGTTCTTCTCTAAATATATTTAAAATGTGGTTACTTCCATTCTTATAATGGCTAAAAAATAGAATAACTTTAAAATAGAAACAAACTATTCCAGGCTTTAATGGACTAGGTTGGACTTAGATATTTAAGATCATTAGAATAAATATGCTGTATAATGTTAGAAAGAATGATCATATTTATAAGCATTTTGTGAGATTCCTTAAATGTACAATTGAATACATTCAGATCAATAGTATCCTCTCTATATTTAATTTTAAATCCCCTTAATGCTAATATGAGTAACGTATGCCTGTAGGGTAGACCCCATGCTGTCTTTTCTTTCTCTTTACTTCTTGATTAGGAATAATAATAATAATAATAATAATAATAAAACTATGAATACATTCATACTTGTTTTATAAAATATTACGGGTTAAATCCTGGTCCCACTTCAATGGGGACAGATTTAATCCTATATTTACTGGTGTGGGTATTGGTACGAAGTGTTGTCTAGTAATCAGCGGCAAGGACTAGGAGTCAGGACTCTTGAGTTCTAATTGCAGGTATGCTACTGATCTTACATTATGATCTTGTGTAAGTTACTTCCCAATTCAGTAAAGTATTTAAGCACATGCCTAAATTGAAACATGTAGCTGTCCCATTGAGGTGGGACTACTCACATGCTTAAAAATTAGGCACATGGTGAAATACCGTGTTGAATCAGAGCTTAACTTGTAGACGTTTTTAAAAAGGTTTAAGAAAAAACTAATGTTGGGGGAGGGGGTGTTTTTGTTTGTTTATAATTTCACCAGTATTGGTTGGTACTTAAACTTCCACCTGCAGTGATTGCAAATCAGACGTTGGAGCATTGTGCTATGGATGAAAACCTGAAAATGTAATTTGTTCAAAAAAAGAGTGTAACTCCTTCATCTAGTTTTATTGTCCAAACAGAGCAAAACACAAGTAAGCAAATAGTGAAAAGTAAATGTGATTTTTTTTTTAAATGTCAGTTTTCAACTAAAATATTAGTGATAGATACAAAATGATTTTAAAACATCTGATTTTTAACTTGTAATTGACCCTTTTAATTACAATGAAGTTAATATTTGTTTGAATGTAAATTGGTTGGAGGAGTTTCGGATTATATTATGAATAGCAATCAATACCACCAAGTGGGGGAAGGAAGGGAAGTAATATTTCAACACTGTTGATGTATGAATCTTCTGTGTGCTGTTTTGTTTTGCGAGGTTAATTTATACCTTTTATTTTATGCAGAACGTTACAATAAACCATCTGCTAGATATTTTCAAACACTAGTACAATAGTAAGCACTTAACAGTCTATGACTCATTCCTATACCATGTGAAAAACACAACGCATTATACAAATTTCCTCTCACCGCCACCCCAAGAGAGTCTTAATTTAAATTAATTCAGGTTCTCACAAACATTTAACTTAGAGCGCTGAGAAAGTACCCATCAATCCATTGCTAACTTTTTATTTCCCAGCCGCCAAATACTGTTAACGCTAAAATCATGAAGGGATATAGGCAAGTGAAACCTTAAAGAAGTCTCATTGTATGGGAAGTGAGAGACATGTTTATTTGTAAAGTTGCAATAGGATATTCTGCAAATAGAACACAACCTCGTTGTAAAGCTGCCCTAGAGAGAAAGTGAGTTCGCCTTTTCCAAGAAGTTCTACAATGGAGCTTTCCCCTCCTCTCTTATAATCCCTTTGGCATAGTGTTCTGGGGCTGGGCAGTGCAGCGCAAAGTTAAATGTTGCGCAGGCAGGAGAGGTGCAGAGAAGAAAAGCACTCCAATCGGACAGAGCTAACTACCCAACTCCAGTGTCACCGACCTAGTTGCGCTTCCCCAGTTGGACACTCTGTAGACTTCTATGAATGGATCCAAATACTGAATCCCACATACCCTTTACTTCCTGGGTCTGGGCAGAGTTTAGGTATGGTTCCTGACTTTGGGTCTCTAGGCATGTACTCTAGATGTAGACCTCATGTCTGATGCTCGTTTTGGCAATGGGGACTCCACAGTCCAATTGCTTAGGCTCTGAAACTAGTGCTATGCCTCCTCAGCACTCATATGTTTTCCCCAGAATCCGATCGAAGGCTTACAATTTACCTCTTCACAGGGACATGTGATAGTGAAAGTAAACACATTTTGCAAAGGATTCTGTAACACCATTGCTCTATACTTAGGTAGCATGAGAAATACACAGTCCTATATAAAATAATAATCACACCTATACGCATTGCCCTGCCTCAGGTACACTCTGGAGAGTTCCTTGAGTTGGGCAGAGTCTTCTGCAGTGTCCAGGATCCTTCCCCTGAAACATATGACTTCTCTTTAGAATGTGGACTCTTTCTTGCTCCACTAGCTTTCTCTGACCTTGGCTGGTCCCTCAGTTAAACCAGGCCCCCACTGCTACTAAAGCATACTCATTTCTTCTCCTCTCCTGCCCAAATCTTCCTGTCCCTTGAAAAGCCTTCATTCTTTGTTCCTCCTGTGAATCCTTTTTTAAACCCCGGCACCGTCTCTTTGTCCTGCTTGGGAATTTTCCACTCTCTCTGCTTCCCCATCCAAGTAAACAAGGTGGAGAGACTAGCTTAGCATTGTTTGGTCCCCACTGCAGTTGTAGCCATTGTTCCTGGTCTGGTAGGTATGCGCTTCACCCCCGTCAGTAAAAAGTGGATTCCACATCCAAGTGGAGGCATTCCCTGATGCAACAATTTTATAACAACTTCATAACATCGACCAGAATTCAGAAGTTTTACGTATAGATTTCACAAATTACCATCACATCCTAATGCTGTCTGCCCCCACAACTCCGCATCAACACCCCAGCTACTGATCTATGTATGGGGATAATAATACTTCCCTGCTTCATAGGGGCATTGTACAGACAAATGTGTTCATGTTTATGAAATGCTTAGATACAAAATTGGTGATTGCAATAGAAAGCCTAGAAATAAATATTAGACAAAAGTCAGATTTCAAACCAGGGTAAAGTTTTAATGACCTGTAATTTACAACCTGTTTAGATTTTTCTACAGTGTCTGCAAACGTGAAGAAACATT